CTATGGGTCTTTAAGCTGGGGGTATCATTTTTGGGTTTCCCCTATCGTTTTACAATGTTTCGTAGCATCCACCTAAGCAAGGGCCTCCCCTAGACTAGTTTACTGTTCGGAGACTTTTGACTTTCCTTCTAATATGATAAGTGCGAGCAGGGAGTCCCGCATGTGTCGGCGGGTGCTGGCAGCATCTGGAAATCTGCGGTTGCAGAAGATGCAGGTGAACTCTTCGTTGATCCTGCGAGGGCAACAGCTTCATCGCTTTCGTTCGAAGGTCCCGGTTTCGACCAAGGCCCGAGCTTCTTCCACAGATGTTCCAGCAGGCCCTCTACGTTGACGCAGTACTCCCGGTCAGGGATGAAGAAGCTGTAGGTCTTCCACCTACTACCACAAGACATGCCAAGATCCGGGGCGGCCCTCGTCGTAGAGAGCTCTGCAGCCGCGCGGCATGTAAGCCAAGTTCTCCTCGACTGACTTGAAGTGTCGACGGTCAAAGAGGCATTGGAGAGGAGAGAAGGTCGCGGGCACCTGCAAGGACACCCGAGAGACTCACTTGGGGGGCGTGTGGTGCATCCGAGAAGTGCCTCCTCTTCTTCTTTGGCCACAGCTGGACTCACAGAGTCGGCCGGGTAGCCTGCGGGCAAACTCATTTCATGCCGAGGTCAGCTCTGCGAGCCGCCTTTGCTGCGTTACGCTCACACATCGGAGCCTGCAGCTGTCGGCCCTTCTACCGGCTTGCGGTGTACCTCAGGTGGCAACATCAGCTTGCACGGCTGGTCCGGCCCCGCTAAACTCGCACCTGTCTGACCGATTTGCAGAACTCATCTCCATGATTTCGCACCGAGATCAAACTCTCTGATCAAAGCCTGTACGGCATTCTACTAGTGGGGGTTCTAGACTTCTAGGGCCTAGGGCCTAGGCCTTCTGGGCTCCCGGCCTTTCCCGCTTTCAGATGCGCGGTTCCTTTCACGCTCTCGCCGGCCTCGCGTTCCCGAAGCTTTCGCTCCCAGGCTTCCTGAGCCAAGTGCAGACAGAGAGCGCAATCCGCAACAAAAGCTACTAGCGTTGGGGTTATCTCACATCAGCTGGTGAGAATACACATCAATGTCGGCAGACGCTGGGTTTCGGGAGAACTGGGGAGAATACACAGCG